GTTACTGTAGGTGTAACACTGCACCTATCATCTGCTCTGGTAATCTGGTGTCTTCTGTGAAGGCTTAAGGAGAACTGGGGGGTAGGAGAGGATGCTTTAAAGTGTTGCATACACATTAAGAAGTCGATCCTGCAGCTGCATTCGGAAACACAAGGGTAGGATAGGCTTCGTTGCTTTCTTGGACAGGTTTGCTGTACTATTAATGCCCAGTCTGTTTCTGTATCAAATGCTCTTGGTTTAATTTACTGAAACCTACTCTACTGATACTTGGTCCCATCTAGCAAAGTATTGCTATCTAAGCTTCAAAAGCTCTAATTCTGACAACAGCTTTGAAATAGCTGATTGTTTGGTTTCTGAGTATAACTTCAACATCCTTGACTTAGCAGTTAGAAGGGAACAATTTCCAGAAGTGCCAAGACTGCCTTTAACTGGCCCAGTGATCATTCGTAGTAAGAGTGCTGTAAAAGTATATTTTCTACTCCTGAAGTTGATTTAACCCTCCTTAGACTTGTAAAAGCTCTACTTGCACCTTTACAACATCGTACAAATTAGGAAGTACTAAGTAGTTTGTAGCTGTTGTGGTTCAACCCGGCGGGCAGCTAAGCACCACACAGCTCACTCCCTGCCCCCACCGTGGGATGTGGGAGAGAATGGGAGAAAAAAAGGTAAAATTCATGGGTGGAGATAAAGACAGTTTAATTGTACAGAAAAGGAATGGAAAACAATAGTGATAAAAGAATATACAAAACAAGTGATGCACAGTGCAATTGTTTACTGCCTGCTGACTGATGCTCAGCCAGTTCACAAGATGCAGCCCCCACCCAGCTTTCCTCTTAGTCTATATAGTGAGCACGGCATATGGTCTGGCATGTCCCTTTGGGGTCAGCTGTCCTGGCTGGGTCCCCTCCCAGCTTCTTGTGCCCCCCACCCCCCGCCTCCTCACTGGTAGGGCAGTATGAGAAATTGAAAAGTCCTTGAGTTAGTACAAGCACCGCTTAGCAAGGACCAAAACATCCCTGTGTTATCACAGTATTCTCCTGCTAAATCCAAACCACAGCACTGTACCAGCTGCGAGGAGGAAAATTAACTCCTTCCCAGCCAAACCCAGGACAGTAGCTGTATTAGAATCTTGATGTTTACCATTTGTTTCATGCAGACATAAATAACTTGAACTCTCTTCTCAGCCAGATCCACAGCACCGCCGTTCTTGCACTGTTACTGATTATACCAATCAGTCTTGGACACGCAGGGGATCAGCAGGTTCAGGTATGCAGCCTGCCCGAAGGGGCCTACAAGGAAGCTGGGGGGGACTTTTCCCAAGGGCCTGCAGTGACAGGACAAGGGGTAACGGGTTTAAATTGAAAGTGGGGAGGTTTAGATTGGGTATCAGGAAGAAGTTCTTCCCGGAGAGGGTGGGGAGGCACTGGGACAGGTTGCCCAGAGAAGCTGTGGATGCCCCATCCCTGGAAGTGTCCAAGGCCAGGCTGGATGAGGCTTGGAGCAACCTGGTCTAGTGGAAGGTGTCCCTGCCCATGGCAGGGGGTTGGAACTGGATGGTCTTTAAGGTCCCTTCCAACCCAAACCAGTCTGTGATTCAGCTCTGCCTTCCGAGTTTTTTTTGACCTTGGCACACACAGAGCTGGGCTGGTCAGTTGAAAGGGAGTTTGTTCAGAGGTTGTGGTAGAGCAGAGTTAACTGCTGTGCCCTGGAGCGGATTTTTCTCAATGCCTTCATTACAGCCCTCAGCTGAATTCACTTTGAGCGCTCCCCTTCCCTTCAATACCAACCAAGTATCACCTCCATCTGGAGCAGTTCCTACTAAACATAAATATCTGCTCCCTCCCTGCAAAAAAAAACCCAGGACCTTTAAATGCAAGGTGAGCTTTATGACTGCTGAAGTAACAAAAAAACCCAATTGAAATCAGCAGCAGAACTTTGTGGAGTTGAACGCTTCGTGAGAGATGCAGGAACGCAGTAGTTCCCTGCAGTGCAGCAACTACGGAAGCACAAACTCTGCCCCTTCTGGAAGGCGAGTCTCTCCTCCCAAACTTGCACAGGTGACACATGATGTAGTTCATGGCCACTTCTCCGAAGAAAAAGAAAGCAAATCAGTTTTAAGCTAAAGGAGCTGTGTTTGGTACGTAGTTTTAACACCTTCCAGAAGTCTTAAAGTTGTGTGTCATCTGTTTATTAGGTCTCCAGCTGCATGGTGCTGTGAAAGGCCCCAGTCGGAGCGGATCAGTCACAAAAAGCAAGCAGGGCTTGTAGCGTGCCATGAAGAAGCATCCATCCATCCATCCATCTCCAGAGTCACGATCCACCCCTCCTTCTCAGCAACGTCAGCATTGTTTACAGAGCTCCCAAACACCCTTCCTTAGGAATATTTTTATGCATTGTTTACAGAGCTCCCAAACACCCTTCCTTAGGAATATTTTTATATGAACCTAAGAAGCAGCTGCCAAAGATGAGGAGGGGCATACTTAAACATTCCACTTTCTGCCAGCAGGAAGAGTTGTGCTGCAGGGGAAGGGTGAATGCACTCCCCTGGGCAGGAAAGGAAACCTGGCAGTGCTCTGTCAGTGCCGCCCTCCCACTGCTGGCTTCTTACTGCCTCAGGGTCTTACCGACAACGGGTACCGCAGAACCTGCCGATTCTGCTGTTGGCTCTACAGCACATCGGTCGGGTTTTCTGTAGCAGGAGTAATTTAAATTATTAAAGCTATATTTGCATGTTTAAAGCAATATTATACTACCAAAAGCCAGCACTGCACAGGAGACTGCTTCTAGCACAGAGGAGTGGTGAATCCCCTAGTTGCTGCAGCAGCTGTGAGCACAGCTGGATGAAAATAAGGCAGCAAACCAGCCGAACAGAGTGGGCAGCTTCACGGGCAGCGCACCACTGACTCTTCCCGTGTTAAATACACCTCTTCCCCAGCGGCTGAAGGGGGAAGAGAAGTGAAAAACAAGTCACCATGCCAGCAGTTCCAGACGATACTCAAGGAAAGGACACCGTCTTCCTGAGGAGATGTTTTACAGCAGTTTCACAGAGTAGGTCAGTCTCCCTTTTCTAAAAACACCCGCAGTTACACAAGATTTGCTGCACTCCGCAACCCACAGGTGCAGCGTAGCTTTAGCTGTGCCTGCACGCTGCGACTGGGGGCGTTGGCTGAGGTTGCCCTTGCGGCTCCAAGAAGGACAAACACACGAAACCCAAGCACCTCAGAATAAAATGTGTGATTCTATGAAGGTCTCACTCCCCGGCAGTAAGCGCCAGGCTACACCCAGGTGTAAACACAAGGCGAGGAGAACCACTTACGGTATTTTAACAGTTAGGACACTGCATGAAAACAGTTGTTCCTCTGTAATCCAATTAAAGAGCACTTTTTTTTTTTAATTTCCTTACTAATATTTTCCAAATTACAGCTCATAATGGAAAAACCCATCAAGTGTTCTTTGTGAAGCGGCTCCCCTATTTCCCCACTCCAAGTTACGCCATTCATCCAGCGTTAGCGGCACCTACAGAGCAGCTGATAGTCTTCAGACCATACGGACAACACTCTAGACCCAATCCAAGCACACGCTGATCAAAACGAAGGGAAAAGGAAGCAAAGCCTGTGCCAGAGGAACAGCGGTAACGTTCCTTTGCGTTTCTAGATGGGCGGGGGGGAAGCTCTGGTCTCTAAGTTTGCCGAGGGATAAAGCGATGCTGAAGAGAGGCCTCTACCCACTAAGCCCTTTCAAAACACAGCTTCTCTTGACAGCTGAGCCTGCTGGCACACGGTACAGCGGGTCACTGCGCGGTCTCAATCCAGCTGGAGATAAGCACCCCCTTTCCACCAGTGCCATTCCGCAGGCACCAAGGGTGCATTCTGTAGCCCTCATGCACGAGAGCTACAAAAAATAGACAAATAAACGTGAACAGGCTGCTAATACCGTACCATTTTATAGCCCAGAGGGGTCAGAGCGTTAAAGCAAGGGAAAGCAGTCTCTTCACAAGGCAGTCTTTGGTTTCCGTACAAACAGTTGACACCTTCTCCCGCTAACTTCCCCCGGGGAAGCTCTAACAAAATCAGTCCCTGACTGCTCCCACTGAATTGTGGACCTTAAACTCAAGAGGAATCATTCCCCTTTTGGCTCATAAGCCTTTGAAAACTAAAGCCAGCCCCATTCCTCTGCGCTACAGCCAGCTGAAAACCAGTTCCCTCTCAAACACACCCCCCGCACGCTCCAGGGAGGGCTTTACAAACAGCGAAAACCTTCAGAGCATTGGCACATCTCGGGGAAGGACTTCACCTCAGAAGCAAAGCAGCGTGTGGTAACAACAGGGCAGTGTCTCCAGCTGCTAGAGACGTCCCTCGTATTGACTGGAATCACCCGTGGGGGATCACCACCGCCAGCTGGGTTCCAGCAGCTACCTGGACAGCTGAGGGGGCTGGGGGGAAGCGACATCGCACAGAATTCTGCAAAAACTTCCGTTTATTAAATCTGTAGTTTTCCAAAGCGTCTTTATAAAACCAGTGGAATAGCTGGAGGGCAAAACACCTTTAAAAACAGCGGAGGGTTCGTTACAACAGAAACACGGGATTAGCACAGAGCCACGCTTTCCCACACCGAAGCCACCAGAAGCAGCACCGACCGCTCAAGAGTGTGGGATTACACTGCGTCTTCACCTGCCGTCCCGGTACCCGGCGGGTGTTGTTCAACGCAAGCCTAACGAACACCCAGGCACCCCCAACATCACACCGCTGCCCTGCTCTAACCACGCCTTCAGCCAAGGCTCCGCTTGGTCCTAACTGACGAGCGCCCAAAGGAATTAGAGCAGTAGCACCCGAACGCTGCGTCTTCCCTGTTCACAGTGCGTTCTGTATCGAACCCCCCCGGTCGCAAGAAGTCGACACGCATATGCTCTGAAGTGGTAGTCCAGAAAAGCTCCGAAATTCCCCCAAAATTCACACATTCCCATTCAAAAGTAAACACAACGGTTCAGCCTACACGGGTCTTTATTTCTTTCCTTTCTCGGCTGCGGTCTTCTTTCCTCCTTTTTTAGCCTTACTCCCGTATTTTGCTTCCAGCTGGGCAAAGAAGTCATCCATTTCCTTTTTTCGATCTTGATTTCTGCGCTGGGGGAGAGGAAAACAAAACCCAAACTGTTTACCGCTTCCCAGCACAGATGATTGTCGCGGTTAAGCAGCTCCCTAAGGAAGACAAGTCTTTCGACAGGGGATGCAGTAGGGAGAAGCACGTTAGAGTAACTTTGCTAACGTTTAAAAGGACCCCGGTAGTAAACCCCACCCCGCAAGCGCGCCGACAACTAACACAGAGGTCAGACGGTAACCTCAGGAAGGAGTTGCGGGGTTCCAAAATACGAAGACGCTCAGGGAAAACACAATTAAAAGCCTGTAACATAATTATCTTCGACAGATACAAGCAGCCTTACTTGAATCAGCGCTTTCAAGTCCTCTTCTCCATCAAGGCCCAGTTCTTCTTTACTCTTTTCTACCTCTTTAGCTTCTTTTTCTGCCTGAAACAGCAAACTAGTTTTCTTAAAAGCTATTCTGCACATTATTGGACAAAGCCTCACAGCAGATACCAAACACCTGACTCTGTCTATAAAGAGCCGCAGGGAAACCCAAAGTGTTTCCAAGCTTGGCCACGGAGGAGCGGTCCGTCGAAGAGGAAGCCCGCTCTGGTTCTGCAGAGAGGACAGCGGGGCAGGTTTTGCTGTGTCACAAAGCTGAACATGAGGAGATGTCCACCCCCATCCCTCTCCCACACACACACACTTTTTTTGTCTCGGCGGCTACTGCCTTTTCTTACCCTGGAGAAAGGTCACGGTGATGTGCACATAACACGTTCTACAGTGGCACAAAAAAAGGCCTGCCTACAGCGCGGGATGTTATTTCCCATGTGCCAAAATGTATTTTCACCCCACGCCGGCATCTTAACTCGTGCAGCTCGAGGCTTTGTGAACAAACGCAGGGCCACGCTGCGCATCCGCTGTGTATAAACACAAACAAAAGAGGCGGGAGGCAACGGCCTATTTGCCTGTTGCAACTCGGGAGCCCTTTTACGGCCACACTCGGGGGGGTGGAGGGCACAGGTGACGAAATAAAAGCCGAAGGCACGGAGTAAGACCCGTAAGCTGGTGATCCCGTGGCAAAGATCCGTCCAGTTTTGGCTACTTCTACCAGGGGAGATTAAAATCTCATCCCGAACAGCGTTCCCCTTTGGTCCCCGACTGGCATCAACTTACCCGCCTTTTTCGTGCCATCATTTTCTGCTTGGACTCTCTCACGAAGCTTTTGTAGGGCGGGACTTCTCCAGCGTCGATGGCTTTTTGCAGGATCCCCCGTATTCTCGGTTCATCCACGTAGCTCGCGCACAACACGGACTCCATTATTTTGTCCATGTCACCCTCGAAATCCACGTAGGCCGCTTTGATGTCCGCCAGCTCTTCTTCGGAACCTTTGTAGGTGGTCTCGAAGTCGTCGATATCTTTCACAGTGACCTGCGGCCGAGGGGTGACCCTGCGTGAGTCGGGGGCTCTAGGAGAGGGCAGGCGCCCCC